AATATAGCTGTATCAGATTTCATTTGGTTACTTGTTTGCTATATCTGATTTCTGTCACTTTAAATTCAATTTTTCTGTCTCTTTTTGAGTAAACTGTTTTAATCTATTCTTATGATTACTAATGTATTTGAAGTTATTGTTTCTACTATCTTGTGCAGTTTTTTCCTACTTACTATCCTTTTTCCAGGGAGCGGTGGGGGTCCTATTATCTGTCCTTTTTAGATTTGCCAATTTTTTTTACTCACTCTTTGATCCATATATCATTTTAGACTTTATAAGTTTGTCTGTTATTTTTGTAGCTGTCCTAAAATCTTTTATATACATAACATCTAAAGTTAATCACTACCAGGTAGATACTGATTCCTTATACACTGCAAAAATGCTCTCACTCTGCCTGTTCTCTAGTCACACAGGCTACATTCCTAGTATTGTACTTTCATACTTTTCTAACCCTCTTTCAAAGTCATTAGTACATTACTGTTTTCTAATCAGTGTATATTTTGATTTACTTATTTAACAATTTCTTCATTCATCCACCTGTGGTTCTTGTATTCCAGTTCTTTCTTCTGGCTTTGTACATTTTTCTGATTTGTGGTTTATCAGCACCCTCAAGACCGAGCTATAAGAAGTGTCCTCTCTTTGTCTTTACTGCGTGGCAATGTCTAGTGTCTGGTTCACTCTCGCTGTTACAGAAGAGTTAAACTATATTGCAACTGCGATTGCAATTTTTTTTTCAGCATGAAACACATTTCTAAATTTTCTTCAGCCTTCTATTGCTTGTGTGAAAATCTCCTGTCAGCCTAATTTTTGTTACTGTGTAAATATTTAGTGTTCCTTTTTTATTGTTGTAAAACTTTTATCATTCCTTTCAGTTTTATATGCTCACTATGGTATGTCTGGGTGTGGGCTTGTTTATATATTCGTGTTTGAAACTCTGTTACTTCTTTAATTAGATGATGCTTCAATTTTGAAAAATATCACTTCCTAGTCTCTGTGAATATTGCTTCTCTCACTTCTGGAATTCCTTTTAAAAATATTTGGTACTTTATCACAAAGCTACGAGGACTCTCATAGCCTAGCTGCCGCCTGACCCTCCAGCCTGGCTCTCCCCGTACTCTCCAGCCAGGAGTCTTCTTTAAAGGGCCATTACCAGGCTCTTCCCTGAGCGCACTGCTAAGATCACTTCTCTTTGCCAGTTAACTGCAACTCATGCTTCGCCAAATGCTTTGTCTGATGGGACCTCTTTATGCTCCTCCTGTAATACCTGCTATTTTTCATTCAGAGCACTTGGGCCAGTTGCACTTTTACAGTTATTTGACTGAGTACCTACTTAATGCATGTCAGCCTCTTTGACTAGATTTCTTGCTCCATGAGGGTAGTACTTTGTTTGGTTTTGTTTTTTTATTCTGTTGGCGTTTTGTAGGCACTCAGGAAATAACAGTGTTGAGATTCAAACCATCCAGCAACTATCAGACCATCAGGGACCCAAGCAGTAGTTACTCATCTCTGAACATCAGCTTCAGTTCTCTCACTGTAGACCAGCTTTCTCTCCTTTGCTGCAGACATTTAATGTGATAAAAGACCTAGGGTAGATAACCTTTCTAAATTAAGTAGTACATAGCACGCATGAGCCAAGACTGTCCCTCTGTCTCTCGCATTCTTTAAGTGTCCTCCCACTTTAATTTCTATTCTACCTATCCTAGAGCTAGAGAATGTGCCCCCAACTCTGTGAATCATCTATGGCTAAATCATTTTTTTCCTTTTTTTATTCTGGATTAACTGAGCTTGCATGACTTTTTAAAGTAACAACGCCTTCAAAAATCAAATAGGAAATAATTTGTTTTGCTCACACTTGAATTTAAAAAATAACGCTCAGTGCATTTACTTAGCAAGTATTTGTTGAGCTCCTTTTGAGTGTCATTCATTACATTAGGCCTTTAGGATACAATAGTAAAAACAAACGTGGCCTCTGATCTCACAGAGATTATAGTCTAGAGAGGAAACATTATTCTAATACTCACACTGCTACTAAACCTACAATAAAAAATAAGTGAATCCTTAGAATGAAAGAAATATGATTCCTTGTGAATATTTGATCAATTAACTTGACGTCTAAGGGAAATTTCTGTAGGATGGGGAAGGTTTACTTCATGAGTGATTACTGAACTAAGATTCTAAAGATGAGTAGGAGTTTATAAAACAAAGTGGAGAGGTCAGAGCATTTCAAGAAGAAAAATTAGTATGTGAAAATATCCTGTGGCAGGAAGCAGACGGGCAATTATGAGGGTCTAAAAGAAGACCAGAGGGGTTAGAGAACAGAAAGGAAAAGAGAAACTTATCAGAGTTCAGGATATAGATTTATTTAGAAATGAAAGACAGTGATGCTACTGGCTTATATGGGCTATATAGGTCCAATTGTTATATTTTTAGAAATTTGTGAGCCAGCTATTAAATGACCATTATTGAAAACATAAGTGTGTATGTAAACTTATGTTAAATAAGTTACATTAAAAATAAAGATTTTTCTAATTATTCTTAATCATTTATAATTATTTCACTACTTTTTACTATTATTTTTACTCCTGAGCTTATTCTGTTGGCATGGAGGAAACACTTTATAATTATGTGCTGCTGAACATTTCTTCCCATCCTCACATTCAGTGATGTTGCGTTTACCGACTTGACATTGACCATGGTGGAGTTTCTCGGCTTTACACAGTGAAAACCGGCAAACTGTTCAAATCGGGATCCCCTCGCACTCCTAAGGACCAGCTGTTAAAACACTTACAGCACAGCGCTCAGTGAGACTATACAGGAACTTGGAGACTATGTTAAGAATTGATCTGTATCACCGGAGAAGTGAACAGGCATTGAAAGGTTCTAAGCAGGGAGCTGACAAGAGCAGGTTTCTATTTTTAAAAGATCACTGAGACTAGAGAAATGAAAGGGGAAGCAAGGTGAATCTGGGTGGCCCGTATGGTAAGTAAAGATGGCTCAGACTAGGATCAAATAAATGAAAATACAAGTGAATGGATCTAAGATATATTTAAGAGTTAAAAATAGAAGGCTGAGCTCAGGTGGTATGAGCCTGAACCAGTCATGAGAAAGAACTGAAATCTCTATATTCTCCCTAATTTCTAGTTGGTTGTGATATTTTCATTTGGAGCCCAATCCTGCCACCATGTGTCAAAGAGCCAACTTCACAGTTGAACAAACTTAGGCCTGAGTAAGAGAGGAGGGAGAAAAAAAACTACAAATGAAAGCATATGGATTGAAGGGACCATCTCCATAAAAAGTAAATTATTTTTCATGTAAGTCACAAGTTTTCCGTTTTCATATATGCATAATAGTGCAGTCACGAGAGTGGCCTCCAAGACCTCTGACTGTGAGGCGTGTGAGTGACTGAGGGCCCAGCTGCATCCTCTGAAACCCACCTTCGAAACCCACATTTGAGCCCAGCTCACCCTCTTTCTCACCCTCCCACAAGCTGTCCCCACAGTGACTGAACGGAACAGAGACCCCAAGGCAAGCCTGTTATAGGAGATGCCAGATTCCTTTTTAAAAAAATATATCTTTATTGATTTCAGAGTGAGGTGAGGGAAAGAGAGAGAGAGAAACATCAATGATGAGAGAGTCATTGATCGGCTGCCTCCTGCACGTCCCCCACTGGGGATCGAGCCCGCAACCCGGGGATGTGCCCTGACCGGGAATCAAACTGACATCGCCTGGATCCTAGGTCGATGCTCAACCGCTGAGCCAGGCCCCAGATTCCTTTAATGAGCAGCTTTTACTCCATGCTTCTCAAATGCTCTTGGAAAATCTTTCTTTAAAACTGTCTAACATGCTTCCACCCAATTTTCCTGTTTTCAAAATTATTCTCCTTCACTTGGGGTAGGTACCTTCATCTTGGTCTGATAGCTCTGCTGACCTTCACTTGATTCCCTGCCTCTTCCAGTGTCTGTGGCAGGTTTTGAGTGGTGGTTGTGACTTGGGTCCCTCCCCGCGTGATAGCAGGCGTCTGTGGTAAAGGTTCCCGGGTCCATGAGGACTTTCTGCCCCCTTCCCCAAGGCCAGTCAGCGCTTGCTTCCACCCTGTCCCAGAGGAAGGAGATCTTTGCCTGTGACTTAGAGGTTAGAGGGGGGGGGCGTGGTGTGTGTGTGTGTGTGTGTGTGTGTGTGTGCGCGCCATTCTCAGAGCTCTTAAAGCTTCTCTTTTGTAAAAGAAAAGGGTCTGGAAAGTGGGTGGGGTTTTGTGCCTGTTTGCCTAAGAGGGGCTCTTTCCTGTGCCTTCCCTGCTCTCACACTGGCAGGTGAGAGGCACCTGGAAGAGAGACATGAGTGAGGACAGACGACTTTGCCTGGGCTCGGAGGAATTCTAGATTGCCGTAACAGCACACGCGCTGCCTTGAATTATTCATTCTAGCGTTAGCTGGTTTTTTACTCACTTCGATGGAGGCTGCCTCTTTTCCTGTGCTTTGCCAAATGTGAAACAGTCGACGCGTCGTCCTGGCTGTCCTGAGAGGGCCTGAGACTCATCGCAGTTCCGTCCCTGTGGTTATTTCGCGATCTCAGTTCTCTGGTGGCCCAGAAAAGTTATCATCTTGGAAACTCTCTGGCGTTTTCACATTTTTAGCTCGAGATTAATGTTCGTCTGTAGCTTTCTGCGTGCTAAGCAAAGCCCCCCTCCTCTGGTCTTTAAAAAATCAGTTCCGTTTCTGCATCAGGAGTTTATCTTTGGCGGGCATAGCCGAGTTGGGAATGGAGCCTGTGCATAAATAGCGTGTTATATGCCAGGCATGTGAAATCGTGTCGTCGGACGGTTGGCAGCCTTGCGGCGGCTGCTGTGTAAATTCGGTGGGTGACAACATTATGGGCAGAGGAGTACACAGGTCACGTCCCAGGTCTCCCATGGCGGATCCCACCTACCCAGGAAGGCGTTGTTTCTAGTGTGCCTTGCTCTGGGTCACTTTTCAACGCAGTTACCTTGTCCTTCCCACCAGGTGGTTGACCAGATTGATACCCTGACCTCTGACCTCCAGCTGGAAGATGAGATGACCGACAGCTCCAAAACGGACACCCTGAACAGCAGCTCCAGCGGCACGACGGCCTCCAGCCTGGAGAAGCTCAAAGTGCAGGCCGGCGCGCCTCCCCTCCAGCCCGCAGCGCACCCGCCCGCTGTCCTCACGGTTCTGAGAAAGCCGAACCCCCCGCCGCCGCCTCCACGGCTGACCCCCGTCAAGCGTGAGGACCCCCCGAGGGCGGCGCCGGCCGGCCACCCTGCGAAGACCAATGGCACCCTCCTGCGCAACGGAGGCTTCCCGGGAGCGCCCAGCAAAATCCCCAACGGAGACGCCTGCTGCGCGCCCGGCGGCCTGGCGGACA